GCACGCGGACACGTTCACACACACAGAGACACACACTGACGCACGCGGACACGTTCACACACACAGAGACACACACTGACGCAGGCTGACACGTTCACACACACACTGACGCACTCACTCACACTGACACACGTGCACATGCTAACACATTTGCACACCACTGACACACACTGACATGCTTGCACATGCACTGACATGGCCTTTCCTACCGGGCCTCCTCCGATTGAGAGCAACCGCTCAGCTCCCACCCATTGTTGGGTTTAATGAGCTGCTTGGCCGGCTGCATCACCATGGAGACAGGAGACAGATGGACAGAGCATCGCCATGGAGACAAGAGACAGACAGACAGGGCGTCTCCATGGAGACAGGGCATGGAGACAGACAGACACCAGCTACACACCCACTAGGAGACAATACACACACAGAAGGACACACACACATCCTGAACCACACTCACAGCCAGACCTGACCAGGACACAACACACACAGCCACTCACACTCCCCCCCACATGCCAACCCCCTACCCAATCACACCAGACAGATCTTCTCACACACATCCAGACGGGAGGCAAACACACAGCCCCACACGTGCTGAGACACAACAGATCTTGCTCACCCTGGCTTCTGACAAACACACACACACACACCTACACAGTCAAATACACTGAGCCACATCATGCACAACCCAGACACAGCTGGAATATGTGACCCTGAGAGCGGGCTACGGGTCGGGAGTGAGGGGGCCGAGCTGCAGGCGGCGGGAAGAGCAGGGCACAGGGACCGAGGGGGCTGAGGCCAGGGTGCTTAGAGGATGGGACAGTTGAGGGTTTGGCAGTTGCCACATCATGGCCTAGACATGGCTCCCCGGTCCAGAGCTGGGGGAGGGAATCGCCCCTGCGAAGAGCAGTGTAGGGTGTATGACACATGGCTGAGGATGCTCGTCCCCACCTGTCACAGCAGAGGGGAGCAGCCAGCATTCCCATAATCCCCTGCTCTCCCTGGCTCTCTCTGTCCCCTTTCCCCTCCGTGGGTTGTTGATTCTGAACCCTACTGACTGCCAGTTACACGTCAGAGCCGTGAAGTGTGAAACAGTCTGTGTATGGGCCAGGCTCTGCTACCGGCCCAGCCAATGGGCACCAGAGTCCCGCAGCTAATAAATAATCCTCGGTGGGGCAGATAAATTACCCCAGAAGGGGCAGCGGCTAGAACTCTGCAGGGCCCAATGGGCCGGAGCAGCGACAGCCCCAAAGCTGATGGTGCGCGAGAAAACTGCCAGTGAGAGATTGGTACAGCCACGGCTCTGCCAGTGCTCCTCACTCCTGACCCGCAGCCCCCTGTCCCCCCAGCTCTGCCGGAGCCCCTCACTCCCGACCCGCAGCCCCCTGCTCGCCCAGCCCCTGGGCT